ATCCATAAATCTCTCGTTTCGCGGGGCACCACTGGAGTTGTTATTAACCCAAAGTCTCCGGACCTCTGGGTAACTTTTAATAATTATACAATTATCCACTATTGATCAATTATCTAATAATCGCTCAATTATCTTAAAATCAGTCAGTCAATCTCATCTGAAGGGTAAATTCTCTTGGCAGGGACCTAGAAATAGGCAACACACACAATTCCTTGGTTACAGTGAAAAAGAGTATCTCTTTGATGAGGTAATGAAACACAGAGTGAGGTCAGTTGCCATGGTTAAATGTGTGTGTGTGGGGGGGCAGTTTAGGGTTTCCTGCCCCCTTTTAAGGAGAGTTTTGGTAGGCTGTTTGTAATCTCTGGTTAGTTTCTTTGTCATTTTAACAATTCAGGCACCGAGAGGCTTATCTCAGCTGTTGCCAAAGGTGGCCAGTTTTATGATCAACCCCCCTTCTGTTGGGGTCTCTTCAGCCGTCTGTAGAGGGTTGATAATCAAACCCCCTCCTCCTTCTCTCTAGGAGAGAAAAGAGGAATTGAGTCTCCAAATTATTTAATATAAAATGCACAAATTCACACTGTCTGTTCACTACAGACTATAGATGACAAGGTAAGGAACTGTCCATGGTAGAGACTTATGGAGAAATAAGTGACACCACCTCAGTTACTGGCCTGAGGAAGGTCCTAACAGTTCCTCCTTTGGTGACCTTTAGCTCAAGCTTTCTGACCTTCCCATTGCAGGGTAAGCTTTAGCGATGAGAGCCATGGGCTACATGTTTCTTTTTACCTGAGTGTCTCTGAGCAGCACCACATCTCCTTCCTTGACATTTGGCTGAATATCTTGCCACTTGCTTCGGCTTTGGAGAGTGCAGAGATATAGTCGCAGCATTTGCCAAGTGCTGGACTCTTTCTATTGTTGGTGATACAAATCTGTATTCTCAAAGTATCCTGGAGGAGAACAAGGGGTGCAGACCTTCTGTGTCAGGATCATTGCTGGAGTCAGAAGACAAGGTGAGCCTGGATCAGTTGAGATGGTTGTGAGAGGTCTTGCATTTATTATAGCAGTAACCTCAGCCATAAGGGTCGAAAGCACTTCATGAGTGAGATGTGAAGGGTTAATCTGACAAAGCATGGAGTCAAGGTTCCGTCTTGACACCCCGATCATTCTTTCCCACACTCCCATGTGGGAAAAGTGGGGTCAGCCATGTACATCCTTCCTCACTGAGGTACTTTGAAATGTTAGTCTCATCTCGTAGGACAATTTGCAGCTCTTTGCAGGCTCCTTTAAAGTTTGTGCCACAGTCAGAACGGATGACCTATGGGACCACGCTGCACAAAGTTCTTTTGTTCCTCTGTCTATTACATGTGACACACTTTTGCAGACTGTTGGAGATGCATTTCTTTGACCCCACTATCTGACTCTGCCTTGATGTTTAACCCTCTCATGGTAGTGCTTAATGAGTAGAGTAGCAACATGGCTACGGCCAGAAATTATGACGATGATTATGGTGTTTCTCCTCCGTTTCAAGTGGAGCATGCCGGAGCTGACCACCTACTCTCAGGAGCTGATTGACATCAAGGATAGGGTTGAGCTTCTGCATAGGACTGCCTTTGGGAATGACTGTCAAAACAGGACACCATTTACATCTACCAAGCTGTTATTTAAGTCTGGTCCTGTCAACAGCACATCGTTCAATGAGATGCCGAGATGTGAAGCGCTGGAGTCAAAAACGACTTGGATTTGGCCAGGCTTGCGTGAGTGATACACGCCAAAACTGGGAAGGTACCAGCATTCTTCTCCATCGTGTAGTGCTGGGGCCATTTCAGCATGGTCTTGGTCAAAGATTTTCCTCATGAAAGCCAGAAAATCACTCTTCATTTCAGGCTTTCTTTCAAGGCTATGGCAGAGACTGGTGAAGCGCGTCAGAAGGCTTAAGGTGAGAGTTTTGTTTGGCAGCATCATGAGTAGGTATTTCTGACCTATCGCCCGGAATAGTAGTAATAGTTGCACTCAATGAGCGTGGGAAGAAGAACACTGAGACTTCCATCTAAGGGCTGAGCGATGAAGCCGGTTCCTCTTCTCCCAGATATCTCTGTTACTCCAGAATCTGTGCCCTTGAGACTGAATAAGTCGAAGAACTCAGGCTGAGCAAGAGATAAATTACTCTGCTCATCTAGTACAGGACTTTAGACTTCTAGACTTTAATTGATCTATCTGGTTGTTTATTTGGATGCACATTTATGAGGCAGATTTTAGAGCAGGAGCGGGATGTGTTGACTTCACCACACACTTCAGTACATTTGGAGATTATGTCTCTTCCTTTTCGTCACCACCATGCTCAGAATCAGGGTTTTTTACTGTCAATGTAGGTGGTCCTGGATGAAGGGCTGTGACATGTCTATTGCTGTCACACTCTTTACACTGAATGGACATTTTGCGATCTTTAGCCACACGATCAGAGGAGGAGCAGCATCTGAAACAAATCCCACTCTCCTTGAGAAATGCTTTGTGTTCTTCCAATGTCTTAGCTCGGAAGCCTCTGCATCGATTGAGGGTATGGGGCTTTTTGTGAATCGGGCACTGCCTGTCGACATCCAATTTATTGCTGGCAGTATCTATAGATGCCACTGGCGACATAAATCTTGCCTGCCAATGGTGGCAGGTGTTGGTGTGATCTCTGTCTTGTGGAATGAGACTTGACCTCTAGAGTGTGTGCATCTTTTTTCTCTCCAAACAATCCATTCTTCCTCCCTTTCCACTGGGAGGCAGTAAGAGCTTCCCTTGGATGGTAATGGGAGCAACAAGACCGAGCGGATCAAAGAGGCTATTGATGGTTGCAAGTACTCCTCTTCGAGTAAATGGCTTCTCTGGCGACATGGAATGTGAAAGTGTCATTAGCGAGGTTCCACCGTAATCCAAGGATGCATTGCACAGGTGGTGCGTCGGTATCTAGGTCAGGGTCTTTCAAGTCGTTTGCATAATCTGTTGATGGAAACGCCATGCACTGGGCAGTTTGATGCTATTTTGTGGAGTCTCAGGTTGGAAACTGCAAGCATACTTGGCTTTTTGTGAACTGGGCACTGCCTGACGACATCCAATTTATTGCTTGCAGTATCTATAGATAACACTCTGGTGGCAGGTGTTGGTGTGATCTCTGTCTTGTGGGATGAGATTTGACCTCTAGAGTGTGTATCTTTTTTCTGGGTTGTCTGGCTTAACTGCTGTCATACCAGATGAGCTGAGCATGAAGCTTGGATCATTACGGATACTGGCTTCTCTGCAGGCAAAATAAGTAGAGAACGGTGGAAACTGGACTTGGTGTTGCAGCTTATACAAATTGCCTTGTGTCATCAATTTCTCCTGAAGCCCATATGCCAGTTTCTCCACTATTGGGTTAACACACCGAGATGTATCCAAGTAGGCAAGCCCAGGCAAATTACTAGTTTTGCCGACTCCAGCTCCCTTAACTGATCGCCAAGGTCTCTCAATTTGAGGGGATCTTTGCTTCAAATTTTGGGAAACTTCTGAAGTTTGTCCAAAAGAACCTTCTCAATTGTTTCAGGGGACCTGTAGCACTCCTCTAGACATCACTGACATGAACAGCTCTGATTCTCCTAACATGCTCTGAGGACCGAGGGCCTAACCACCTAGTTAGAAGGTCAAGCTCTTCATTGCAAGTGAGTTTCAGTCCTTGTGTGGCATTCAGAAAGGTTGATTTCCAACCTCAGTAATTGTCTGGATGGTCATCAAACTGGATCATTCCAGAAGTCACAAGCTCACTTTGAGCCATGTAAATAGCAAAGTCATTTATGCCTGTATGATCAAGAGCAGATGACTGCTGGGGTGCTTGCATCCTAAGAGGGAGTGTGTGAAGCTGAGGTCCCTTAATGGATGAGAAACTACGTGGATTGGTTGCAGGGTAATATTGGGTGGCTGGCTGATTCATACTCTGCACTCTGGAGCTGCTAGCATGCTGCATGACATTAGCTGGAGTCATACACTGCCCATCCTCAGCTGTGTGAATGGAATTTTTCTCACTTTCTCTGTGTAGTGGCATGTGAGGGATATTGTGTGACCAATCAGGTGCAGTGTAAGACTCAAGATGGGGCAATGACAGTGGACTAGAGTGCATCCTAGAATGACATTCAACATAGTCACTCGTTCTTTTTTCTCTAGAGTCATGGGGAATTGTTGCAATGTCACTTGCCATAGAGTTTACTTTAGATCCATGTTGTGCTACAGCTAAAGCAGCCGCAACCTCTTCCTCTTGCTTCAGTGTAGTGAGGGCAGCATCCATGCGCGCCTGCTCTACACTCAGTTGGGCTTTTTCAACCATGAGCTCAGTTTCTCTCTTAACAAAGGTGGATCGAGCATGCAATGCCTCGGCCCTGGCACGTGCTTTTGCTGCTGCTAAGCGCGCTGATTTGCTAGAGCTGTTGGAAGAAATAGCAACAGATCTGGTCACATGGGACTTTACAGATGGACTTTGGGAGTGTGCCTTCTGTTGATCTTCTGTGTTTGCCTTGTTGTTCATCTTGTGTATGCCGTACACCTTTCGACCAAGGTAGAAGGAGAAGTAGGTCTCTTTGTTTGTTTGATGACCCAGCTGTGATGCTGATTTTTCACTATTCTGTCCACTGCTTGTGTGGCTCTACACAAGGTGACAGATAGCTAAACAGATGTCTTAGACAATGAAAGGGTTAAATAATGTGATTGTTGTTTGCGCTACATTGTTGGTAAAAGCAGTGGAGCGGAGGAAAACATTCACCCCTACCTGGCCCTGCAAATGTTTCTATAATGTTTGTATAAAAATGTGTAACTGTATAAAAATGCACTTTTACATTTCTAGTCTCAAGTATATTTTATACAAATGTATATAGATTCTGTTAAGTTATAATCAAGATTACGAAATTATGATTATTTTTCCTTCATCTCTGTTTCCCTATTCTTGGTTTTTCACTGTTTCTAACCCTGTCTGTCTGTCTGTCTGCCTTCCCCAGGTTCACTTACCCTCGTCCTCCGTCAAGCCAGCTGGGCTCGCCCTCCTGCCCTCTCCCCTCAGACTTCCCCCACGGCGTCCTTCCGGCTCTCCCTCGTGCCTCACCAGTCAGCCTGCCACCACACTCCTGCACCAACCCCCCCGGTCAGTTCTCCTGTGCCTCATCTCTTCCTCTGTCCCCACTGCCCCCCTCGGCTCCCTAGTCACAACCTCCTCTGCCCTTCTTGCTCCTCAGTGCCCCGTGCCCGTGTTCCCCGGCGGCCACCTCTCCCTCACCTCCGCTACCTTAACCCCTCCCTTTCCGTCAATAAAATCTGTTTCCACCTGAGCGTTGCTTTTGGGTCCTCCTAACAGTTCCCCCTTTGGTGATAATATATCATGTCAGTATAATATTAATATATTTGTAGGTCACACTTTATTGGGATAGTCTGCCTACAGATATTTAAACAGTTTATCATTTGAGATTCAATGTAACCGTTTAACAAATATAGCAGTGTTCTGATATTACACCACTATGGTTTTAAGGTGTGATTAGGGCTAATTGTAGTATATTCATTATAATTTCAGAAAATAGTAGACTACAAATATAGCTTACCACTTGTAGGCTACAATATAAATTCCAGTTGGACAAAACAGCCATCGTAATAATTTGTCATAACATGCAGAACAACGAGTTCAACATGTTAAAAGTTTGCTGATTGGAGCGTCACTTTGCGTTGCCAACTTCAGGGCCAGTGGGCCACCTTCCTTAGCCTAAACTTGTTTACTAATAATGAAAAAGTTGGCAGAAGGTTGAGAGACACAGGCCCACCCCCTTCTCCCCTAGCCTGTTGGTCTATTCCATATGAAGGTCTATGCAGCCCTTAGCACTGCCCCGTCCATCTCACTCACACACCACAGTGACACTGACAGCTGGAAAATGAGCTACAGTAAATATTGAGCTAGTACAAGTATTGAACTACAAGAAACAAGACAGTTGCAAGCCTTTAATTAGAGTTACGTAAAGCTGTTGATGGTGAGGGAACTCGCTCAAACATTTCTGCGCTGAAACAGGCTGGGGGGGCAGATACCGATGCTGGATTGGGGGGCTGTGTTTGCACATAATGGGCCATCGTCGTGTCATCCTAACAGGTCTGCCAGACCCTGCTATAGCCCAAACATACAAACCTAAACTTAACCCACTAAAACTGTTAAACCCATGGAAGAAAAAACTAAAGTTTATTTGGAATCTGGAGTTTTCAGGCAGACACAAGATGAACAACAAGACAAACACAGAAGATCAACAGAAGGCACAGTCCCAAAGTATTTGAAGAAGCGGACACCACACAATTATTTATTTATCAGTTGTAAACAGTTGTTATCACTACTGCTGATGATTGATACAGTGGGTAGCCCATTTGACATTTTAATGTGTTTTTGACATGCAGGACCAAGTCCAAAAAAGTTTTATACATCAAAAAGTTTGTTTTCCACTAAATATATATACAATCTATAGATGACTCATTTAATCTGTTTTAAACTTCAGTATTGCTGTGTGTGGTTCAGAAACCTTTCCAATGAGAACAGACTTGATATTCTTGTTAAATTGGCCAGCAAGATCTCAGCAAGGAGTCAGACCAAGCTTTCAGACCTTTATAACAGGCAGGTCCTTAGGATGGCTAATGCTACATTGGACTGCTAGAATTGTCCACTCCAGAGCGAGTTTGAGCTATAACCCTCAGGCCACCATTTCAGCACTACTGTCTGCAGTACTAAAATACTCTATGTTTCTTTCATCCCCATCTGGCAGATAGCTCTGGGGTACATTGTGTTGTATTTTGCACTCTGAAAATTTTGAACATTGAAATTGGTTTGAACTTTCTGTGACTTCTTGTGTGGATGTTGTTGTTGATGTTGACCTTTTGCATTTTGTCTTTCATTTGAAGCCTGGCTGCATAACAGTTTTTCCCCAGTGGTATAAGAAAGATAAACTTTTCATAATGTCAAACTCAAAACAGGACAGCAAACACAGGGAAGTTGAAAAAACAAATTAACACACACAAGGGATGAGGAGGAGATACTGCAGTACCACAATAAAACTAAAACTGAACTAAGATATCTAGAAAAATATCCGTCTACTGAAACATCACGCCACAAGCCCTGATGTCCATACCAACAATAAATGCCATTCATAAACCAGTTTTACAGCCACATCAGCCTTCCTCTGTATAACCTTACAACACTCATCCAGATATAAAACTCAAATAAAAAGAGCTGTGGACACTGCGTCGGGTGCAACAAACCTGGCCATATAACTTTCTTCCATGTTTATACTCTACAGACCTTTTCCCATTTGACTGTTTCACTGCCATTTCTCCTTCTTCTCAGTGCCCGGAGTCCAGAAAGTTTGAATGTGCCGGTGTATAGAGGTCTTTTCTCCCATCACTCCTGTGCACAAGCACAAACGCCACCTTTTGCAGATTGGCTGGAACAATATTGTGGGGAACATCCATACCACTTTCTTTGTTTTTCATTTACAAAGCGAGGGCTATGTAGGAAAATCTAAAAAAATGTTTTTACAGCACACACAAAACGGAAATTAGTGTGTTTTGGATTACAATCCCTTTAAATCAGTGACCAATTAAGGTAGATGGAACCATTTTTAAGGGGGTACAAGAATGCTAAAAATACCCTTATTGACTTCATCCATAATTTTGGTGCTTATTTTTGCATTGTTTGCAGCTACTGTAGCTACATTCAGCCAGTGAAGCTCTGTGGAAATCTGCTCTCCTGCAGCCGAATACGAATCTTCTCCTCTGCTGAAGCTTCTGATTTAACATTCCTGAGCTGACTTTCCCCCCAAATAACGAGTAACTTTGGGTAGAAAATATATTAGTTTCCATCACATTATTTGTGTTTACCCATATTTGGGTTAATTCTTACTAACAATAGTGAACATGCAGTGTGCTTAGGTTTAGGCAACACAAATGTCAGCAACAAATGTGCCCCTTGTGAAAAGAGTACAATTTGTGCTTTGTATTTTTTACTCAGGACTTTGATTTCCCTCTATGTGGCCAGGTGTCGACTTTGTACAGGTGAAAAGACTGCAGACATGAGCACTGAAGAAGGGAGACCTTAGTGACGTTGTTCTGCAGTCTAAGATATGAGGTGTGACTGATTCAGCTTTCATTTCATCATCCTTCATATTGAAGTTCTTTTACACAAGATTACTGAATGCTGAATAAACACTTTGGTAATACAGCTGGTATCAACAGCACGGAGAACTTTGTCAAGGGACTGTCAAGGTATAATAAAGCAGACAATGAGTCAATCCTGATTACTCCAAATGTATACAGGTACAGATGCATGTGATTTTGCAATAGACTGTGGAAAAGGAGTAATTAAGGCTTGTGTAATTTACACTATAGTTTTTGGCAAACTTTACACAAACTGGAGAAAGTAGCATTTGTTGTGGACAAGCTGAGGATTAATTCACATATTGCTGTTTCTTTGAGTATTTGGGGTAGCAGGATGGTGTATGAGGCACTGAGTCAAAATGAACTACAGTCTGTGTGTTTATGTCAATGAGGGACCATTTCCCCCAGGGCTACAGAGTGGAAACTCTTCTCACTGCATATAAGGAAGCAGCTCGACAGGCCAAAATTAAAGCCACAGGCAGAAATGTTTCAGGCTTCACGAAGCCAAAAATAGTCAGAGTTAGTGAAATTCTGAGTGATACCAATCACACTCTGAAGAGTTATTATGACTGGACAAATCAATAAGTTAAGGCCAATTTCTTGCTAAGCCACGCCCTTTGTATTATTACTATTACTATTACTATTTTTGTTGATGGTGGCAATATTTTTTGGCCAATCTTGCCTAATTGTAATGGAAATGTGTATCCCAAGTTCTAACTGTTTTTTCTCATTTTGTGAATTACCAAAAAATTCATCAGACTTTAGTCCGCAGACTTTATGGTCCAAGAGGTTTGTTGTAGAGCACTTTTGGCCTCTACTCAATTTGTGCTCAAGTCAATTGGACTTACAGTGTGAGAGACTTTACAAAATAGCATTTTTGGAGCTTAATTACAGCACCATCATTTGGCAGACATATATTTATGTGGATGCAGTTGCGCATCATTTCCAGTTAGTGGCGCAAGTTGAGTGTTTCTAGCTCACTACAGCTCACAGAAATATGAGACACGGAATAAGACAAATAATATTAAACTCATTAGAGTTCTGCGTTCTTGCTGTGGAATGATGACAATGCTGTCACCATGAAATCTGTTGCAGAACAGCTGTTTTTCCACAGTTGTGTTAAAAGAAATGCATCTGGAAAAAAAATAAAATAAAACAAGAAGCCGGAACATAAACGCCGAAGCGTTTATTGCAGTAACTTGCAGTAAAAAGACTTGTCCAACTGCAGCACAGATTAGTTGTTCAGCTGGTGATGATCACATCTTCTTGGCGCACACGTAGTTCTTCTTCTCTGAGCAGTATGTACCATTCAAGTTTCCCTCATCTGGAGAAAAGAAATCAGAATAAAACATCACATTCAGTGGCATCTAGACTTACAGTGGAAGCATGAAGCATATTTTCACATTTAACTCTGTGAATTAAAGGTTAAATCCACCAAATGATAGCTGGTGATTTTGCAACATCTTGGTGAGTTTACTTTTGTTTCTGTCAAGTCTGAATTACGTTTTGTTTATGATGATTTAACAAGGCTATTAAGCTGGTTTTAGTTTGGTGAAAGAGTGACCCACGACCGGTTCATCATAGTTTATAATTACGCAGCGCATAGAGGATCCAGACGTTTCATAGAGGAGACAGCATCTGTCTGTCTGTTAACAGACTCCAATCTGCCTCACTGATAAACCACAGAGCTGCAGAGTAACAGAGACAGTTTTCATATCACGTCCACATTTATGTCCATGTCCCCCTCTCTGCTCCAAGTCTGCAATGAAATTAGTCAATTGATGTTTTTTATAATGTGCCATTCATCCGCCATCAATACGCCAAAGTACAAGCACACCTGGCTTTTCAAGGAAATGGGAGATGACACTCTGATTGGTGTATTGGCATATTACGCCAAACACAAAACACAAAACTAGCAGAATTGGAGTTGGACACGCCCACTGCGCCACGCACTTCACGCCATGTGCTTCGATCCCTAAAATAGAGCCCATGAAGTTATTGAAGTCGGGCCCATATATCATTCCTTTATGTTTCTATCACTAGGTGTCAGCAGAAACAAGCCCTGAACACTGATATATGCACCATATAAAGTTAACTTGGCAAACCCATTAGCAAACTTCCTCATTTAATTACACATTGAGCAGATAAAAGCAAGCATTAGCATTCATTCATTTAAATTTTAGTTGCTGGCCACCTGATGAAAGAAGTCCAATGGTTACTTTCTTTAAGCTCTGTTTGGTCCTCAGTAACTCCTGAGAAGAATATCTGTCTCGTTGGCTGCTAAATGCTCCATTATGTACACCAGCTGCTCTCTAACTTTGTTTTGCTCTCTGTTGTTTTATGCAAGGAAAGCAGCGTGCAGTGGGTGACAGCGCTAAGAAAGTACCAAAACAGTAAAGATGTAGCCCATAAAAGGAAAACAAAGAGTTCAAAGTGAATAAAATGCTCCGTAGAGCAGAGGTGAACTGCACAGTTGGGTAATAATGTGGCATATCAAGATGCTGATCAGACAACATGGGTCTTGGACAGGTGTGCCTCAGGCTGGCCACAATAAAAGGCCACTCGAAAAAACTGCATCAAGTTCTCTAAATCCCTGATATGTGCTATTTAAGAACGAAAAAACAGGATTATTTCATTTCATTCAAAAGTTCACTCCCATTCCCCAATCCTTCTTTCCACTCCTCTATTTTGCCTTACCAAAAATGTCCAACTGGATGCAGAATTCACTTTCTTTATTGTCTGGTGTCTCATGATCCCATACAGTGTAGGTGAATTCAGTTCCATTAGTTCCATCAGTTCCATCAGTACGTGTTATATTTTCCTGAAAAACACAAAATGAGGATCAATAAGTTTATTAACCCAGCCCATTGGTCTGCTCTGAGAGATTCACTACTTAGGCCTGATTTTTTGGCTCCAATCCAAATTAACTGGTGACGAGAGTCGGCAAAGGTCAAACAAAGCACGCTAGACATCTCTTCAAGACTGTGTATTGACACCAGGTCAGAATTTAAGGTTCTGCAGTGTTCCTAAAAACAACAAATGTGTTCACCAGCACCTGATCAAAACGTATTATATATGATGATGGATTTATTATCGCTCTTCTGATGCGTGTGTGTGTTTGCTTCACCTGTGCCTCTTGGAAATTCTTTTCGCTTCCGTTGTATTTAGCACATCGACTCTCATCAATGCGGCTCCATCCTTAACCGCATGGCTTATCTGAATAACTTTCACATTCTACCTCAATTGAATGATCTGTAGGAATATACGTGCTTGAATAAACATTTTCTGGGCTTCAGCTCAATGATGCATTGGTGATGTTATAGTACTTACGATTACGTCCTTCTGTGACAGTGGCCATGGCGCACACCAACAGGAGGACGGTACTTAGCACAGCTGGACGCATGTCTCAAGCTTCAGTAACTCAGTTTTCCACAGCTAGAATATGACCAGGAAATGTGAAAGTTAGAAGTGCAAGGGCGTCAAATTTAGAAGGGACTGTAGGGACATCATTCTCCACCAATATCCAGCGAATACTGAAATTTCCCAAGCAACCATTTTGATTCAAATATTTAAATTATGAATCCAATGTGTTTTTAAAGGTCCAGTGTGTAATATTTAGGATGATCTATTGACAGAAATGCAATAGAAGATCCATAACTATGTTTTAAAGTGGTGTATACATAATGAAAACATTGAAAAAATTTCCAATTTATTTTTATTTGTTTATCTTTTTGTTTTCATGCTGCAAAGCAGAATTTGGATACTGTTAGTTGGATAAATACCACTGCCCTAGCTTAGCAGAAATAAACTTGGAAGCACATTTATAAAATAATGAAATATAATGTATTAAAATAATTCACAGAGGACCAATTGTTTGTTCTGCAAAGCGAAAAACACAAATTAAATCAGTTCAGTTCATTTCAATGTGCTTTATTGGCATGGATGTTTAATGTGTTATTTAAACAGTGTTGCCAAAGCAGTTTGCAACAAAATCAAAAAAAGTTTACATTTTAGATTCAAGATTCAATCAAACCATTACAAAATCAACAAATAGAGATAGACTGTTAACTACTTTTAAACTTTTACATATTTCCCTGTTGCTTTTATGTTTTATGTAAAGCACTTTGAATTACGTTGTTGTTAAATTGTGCTAAACAAATAAACTTGTCTTGCCTTGCCTTACAATTAAAAGTAAACAAGATGTAACCTGCCATGCAGGGAACGTAAAGTCAAGTCAGCTTTATAGCACATTGAAAAACAACAGGAGTTGACCCAAAGTGCTTTCCAAGAACACAATACACACAAAACATATAAACGTACAAAGAACAAAGAGTAGTATACCACTGTGTATCCAACTACACAATAAAACACTAGTGCACCGATACACATTAATAAAAGGAATATGGAGAACTTGGTAAAGATAAAATTCAAAGACACTAAAAGGAAGTAAATAAGAACAACGTCAGATTAAAATGGATTAAAATAAATAAATAAAACAAGGGACAGAATCAGGTAAAAGCCAGAGAAAAAAAGGTAGGTCTTTAAATTAGATTTCAAGTTCTCAATGGTAGGGCAGGACTTGATGTTAGATGAAATACTATTCCAAAGCCTGTGGGCAGCAACAGAAAAGGCCCAGTCACCTTTGGTTGTAAGACGTGAGAAAGGTAATAAGAGGAATTGTTGTGAAGATGACCTGAGCGACCTAAGTGCAGAATATGGAATTAGCATATCAGTAATGTACTGTGGGGCTAAGCCATTAAGGGCTTTAAAAACAAATACAATTTTAAAATCAATTCTGTATTTTACCGGTAACCAGTGCAAGACCGGAGTTATGTGTTGTCTTTTCTTTGTTCCAGTTAAAACATTTTTTCTCTGATACTCCAGACACGTATGGAATCACAATGTTGTTGCGTTTGACCTTCTTTTCTTCATCCCGTGTAGTTTTGTTCTTCTTGGATCTTGTGGCTGTTTTCACAAAGGTCCATTTAGAGTATCCACAGGCTGTAAGTGCCCCCTTCAGGTGGTTCTGTTCCTTCTCTCTGGCTTGGGCGCTTGTTGGTAGAGTTGATGTGTTCTGTGAAGGCTTGCACTTCCTGGGATTTAATTTTGACCCGGGTGTCGTCCACATATCTGTACCAGTGGCTTGGTGCAGTTCCTCTGAAGGAGTTGAGGGGTTTGTTCTCCACTTCTTCCATGTAGATGTTTGCCACAATCTGGCACAGCCATGCTTCTGTCTGTAGAATCCTCTGTTGTACTGGAAGTAGGTGGTGTTTAGACAGAGGTTGTGTAATTTACAGACCTGGTCAGGGCTGAGGCTAGTTCTGTTGTCCAGGGTGTTGTCTTGTTTTGGCCGTTTCCTTACGGTTTCTACTGCTTCTATGGTGGGGATGCAGGTGAACAAAGAAGTCACATCACAGGATACCATGGTTTCATCTGGGTCCAGTTTTAGTCCTCGAACTTTGTTTACAAAGTCAAACATCTACATAGAAGAAGTGGAGAACAAAGCCCTCAATTCCTTCAGAGGAAAGTGTCCCTTCAGGTTGTGACACAGGGACACATAAAAAGTCCTTCTCCTTGTTTATTCTTAATTTATCTGGTTTTAATTGATGGAATTTCTCAAAATGTTGCTCTCTTATGCTTCTATAATAACCACATTTCAGAAGAAAATGTGTCTCTGTCTCCACCTCCCCTGTCATACAGTGCTCACAGACTCTATATTCTTTTGGTAACCAGGACTTTTTATGTCTCCCTTTTCAATTACAAAGGTGTGGTCACTGAGTCTGGACACAAATCTATCTCAACACATTTTTAATATCCTCTATCATCTATGTGTCTCACAAGAGCAGCTACCAGGCAATCCATCCATCCATCCATCCATCATCAACCGCTTATCCTGCATACAGGGTCGCGGGGGGGCTGGAGCCAATACCAGCTGACATCGGGCACAAGGCGGTACTAGGCAATCCTTCACTCCTAAATCTGGCAGAAATCTCACCTATCGACTGCTGGAAGACCAAATTTCCCAGAAAAGTTCGACACACACCAACATTTCATCATGTCTCACATCCACAAAGAATGAATCACATTTCAAACATCCATTAATGATCAATACCTGGGTGTCAGAACACCAAACTGTCTGCTTTAAATGACACTTAAACAGTATTATACATAATTTAAAATGCAACTATAACACACTGAATAAAGGTCAAAGATAAACAGCGCACACACTCTGCTGGACTAAACCACCATTTCAACATACTTGGCAAAAGGAGTGTGTTCCGTCCCATTTTTGTTCTGGCCTCTTGAGCTTTTGTACCTTTGTTTAGAGGAAAACATCTGTTCTCTTGATTATTCTTATATGTGTCCAAGGTCTCCTAATCTGTTGTGTAGACACAGGTAATGAGTATTTGGGCCCAGAGTGCAGACACACAAGCAGAGCAGGTTCTGTTACAGTGTTTATTTACAAAGTGAGTATAATTTACAAAAATGAAGAAGCAGGCAATCCAGGGAATAAACAAAGTAATAGAACAATAAGAACAGAACGCCCAAAACATTCATAAAATAGTCCAAAACAAGATGGGATAATCCATGAAAACAGACAGGGACACTTGATGACACATGGAAACCAACGATCCTCCAGCAACTAAAGCAAAGACTTAAATACAAAAAATTGGAGGTGGAAAATGAGGAACAGGTGAAAACACTGAATTAACACAGAGAGGAAATAGACAATCAATCAAGAGAGCGGCACAGTCTGTGCATGAAGTATAGTTCATCTGCAGTTGTTCAAATTCTATGATGAAAATGACAGTTTAGGGGGTATCACCTAATTTCATTGTCCTACTTGTGCTAATGTATGTTCACCCATGTGAATTAATATTTTCCAGAGCCGATGCTGCCTAAATGATGTTCTCCACTAAAGATTTCTTAAAAATAGTGTTAAAATCTTGTCTCGTCTCAACCTCGTGAACCCAATCTTTTATCTTGTCTCATCACACACCTACATATAAGCCAAAGACAACAGACAACTACAAAACTGATTATGATCAGTTATGAAATATACATAGGTCAAACCAGGGCTGGACTGGGACAAAGAATCAGCCTGGGAATTTTTTGCTCAGGCAGCCCACTACAATCAGTCAGACTCCCCTCACGAATACACCAGCATTGTATTAATAATATGTGTACCTACTGTAATATTTCCACAAACTACTATAAAACTGAAGTAAGTGCTGTGGATAAGTGGACCAGTGCAAGTGGATCAGTCTACTCGCATTTTACTAACTCCCCTGTGATCAGAGGTGGCTATGGAGTACACAACTCATACTCAAGTACAAGTAATTGTAAAACAAACTCTGCTCAAAATCACATTATCATTTCAAATTATTATTAGGTCCAGAATTGTTGGATTTCCCAGTTAAAGCTGTACAGTTTTGATTAAAAAAAACATACTGGGAATGAGCAAATAGCTGTTTATTCAATGAACGCGTGGAGCAGATAAGAATAAACATATGACACCCGGTTGCCTGTAGGCCATACACTCGCATCTTTATCAAAGGAACCCTTAGCCTAATGATTGTAATTATTTTATCATAAGGACCTAGGTCACTTCCAGCATGCGTGGGCTGACAAAATAACATCACCTATCAGCCATTAGAATAGTTAGCCAAAATTGCGACTACATTAGTGAACTATAGCTACAAAAACAAATGCTTATGCTGCTATTTGACAGTGAGTGATCACCAGCAGTACTTTCTGATAGTATTGTGATTATATTATTATTATTGACCTTAATTGAAGTGATCATCATTATTATGGCATGGCACACCTCCCTGTTCCATCCCTACAGGCTCCTGTTGAGGTACTTCATGCTTACTGTTTCACCTACACTCTCCTCCTGCTCACTCTGTCCCTCTGCTCCGCTTTCACACGGCTCTGAACCAAACCTTCGGCTTCTCACACCGGAAACAGAGGCGAGGGAGTGAGGGGCAAGGTTGGGCCAGCCCAGTGTCTGTGCAGAAACTGAAGCAATGGACCGCTGCCTTATACTGCTACACGGGATGTTCATTGGCCCTTTTTAAATTAAAATAATATTAAAAATTAAAGAAGTAGTAACATGTTAGTGCTGCATGTTCAGCTCCTTGGTTATTCAGTATCAAATAAATAAATAAACAAAGACAAAGACAGTTTTCCCAGATGACTTTGCATTAAGAGAAACTGACCCAGTAAAATGATGTGGTGAAGATAAAATGATAACTCTGATGAAATAATTCCTCAACTTCTCTTTTGTGTGGTGTTCGGATCTGTGAGAATCGTTTTCAGTGTTTACCCAAAAAATAATGCTATTCATTTTTATTTTAACCGTGGCGCAATTTCTGTGAAACAGAATAACAGAATAATCTCCAATGACTTCACACTGTTCACCACCTATACATTTATATTACACATGTAGTGGGTTTCTGGCAATTCAGGGTGTGACAGTGAGTTTGAAGAAGAGGATGGCATGACCTTGAGCCAGCTCCAAAACGAGCCTGTAAGCAGGACCAGCTGCCAGCCTCTGGACCAGCTCCTCAGCAGCCCACGGCAGAACCAACCACAGGATCAGCCAGTCAGCCCATCAGAGGCCAGCAAGTGGAGAAGTATTGCATAATAAAAGAGAGCACAGCAGTATATCATGGTTTGGTTTGACTTATGCATATTTCCTAATTGATCATAATGGATAATACTGTCTGGTTCAAGTTTTCCACCACACTATGTGTAAAGATGTTTGTGTATGTTTTTGTGTGTCTGTGTTCAGATCCCTGTTTTTGAGAAATGACAAGATAAGTGTCTGTATAGAAGGGCTGGTATTTCTCTTCATTAGTGCTTCCACATGTGACAGCTGAAGCTAGAGACACTGAGAAGGAAGAAGAAGGTAATTCTGCAGCTACAAACTTCTGACTTTCCTTTAGTAGACTGACAGTGGACATAGGACGTCTGTTCCCTACAGAAGTATCAGTAACCTCAGACTGTCTCTCTGTATCGAAGGTTATCATCATCATCTCATCATCTCCACCATGAAGACTGTGTCTGCACTTGTTTGCACCATGATGGCTCTGACTAGTAAGTTTTGTATGTAGCGACTGTAACAGATGATTGTGTTGTACAATAACAGGTCAATAACTGCTGTGCATATATATATATATATAAGTTCATTTAATATGGTGATATAATAATTCCACGATTAGAGCTTTAACCGGAGACTCCACATTACCCACCAAACTCTATTTGTTCTCTGCAAAGGGTCATGTGGTCAAGAACTGGCTATTTTGTTCTGTTGGTTGGACTAAGATCAATGGACACTATTTCCTCTTCGTTCCACGAGCCATGACTTGGGCTCAGGCTGAGGTACAAGATGATTTAGTTTCAATGCAGAGTGCTTCTATGTTGAGCCTGTTCGGTTTGTATGGACTAGCTAGCACACTTGGTAACTTTGCATCTTCATCTAGCTTTGGTGTTTTTTTCTAACTTATCTTTGTCCATTTGTCTCCACTGTAGAAAAATTGTCAGTCCATGGGTCACACCTTGCATGTGTGTGTGGAGCTGAGGAGTATCATGGGATTAAAAAGCTGATAGCAGATAAAACTCATGGGAATCTGCAGACATCACTTGGAGCCTCTGACGGTGCAGAGGTATATCATTCATTCATTTTTCATGGTTGAAGGTTCATTCTTGATCCTGAAATAATAGTTTGACATCCATTATCTCCGGAAGTCCATGATATGTGACATCCTCCCTATGCGGACTTTGTCGCTCTGCAACAATGTCACATAACTTCATCATGACATTTACAGCCACTAGAAGGCTTTTTTACTAAGACACGGATAAGAAAGCAGGACATAACTAGAATGACAAGACAGATACTAAGAAAACTTAAACAAGCGAATGAACAAAGGACTAAACTCAGCTACAAAACCCTAAACATGACAAGATCAAATAAAGCTATAGAAACACAGAATCCAAAAACAGACTAAAACAGGAAAGACATGAACACAAAACACCTGCATACAAACACTTAGAGCTGAAATCAACGTAAGCGTCTTTATACAACACTCCTTTTCCATGTTTACCATCGCGGGGAGGGGTGACAGTCGTGAACGGGAACATTTCTCCACTTTGGGACAAATCAAGGTTTTCTTATCTTATCTTAATTAGGGTTATAGGTTGCATTTAAAGCAATGCATTTTACATCCAATCAAAGTTAGGATGTTAACAAATAAATCAAACAATGAAAAAGCTATTTATTGATATTCCCAAAGTTATGTCCGAGACAAGACCAACACCATCAAAAAGTGTTCTCGAGACCAAGACCAAGAACACTAGCCAGCGCTGTTTACAAATGAATCATGGAGGTAAATCATAAAATACATTATTTTGCATGAGAGTAATGGACTTGTGAATGTACTGGTGTAGATCATTAAAGCTCTATAATTGAAAAAAAAGTGAGATCAATGTATAAATGTATTCATTTTTGCATTTCACTTGAGCACATACCTCTGTCAAGGCTGTAAAGCCTCTCCATTTATTATTTTAATGAGACAAATTTTTTTAGTCTTCATCAGCATCAAATGATACATTCTGCTAAATAACCACGCTCATGTCTTTCTGATACACACAGGTAACAAATGCTGGGATGATATGCAGTGTCACAGTCACCTTGCATCCGTCTGTGTAAAGAAAACCAGCTGATTCCTGGGCTGACACAGAGGCATGAAGCACCTGGAAAAAATCACAAACACGATGGATGTTCTTTAAACTCATCTCTCTTCATACCATCAGTATCATATGTACCCTGAAGGCTCTATATCTCATTTCATGTCTTTTTTTATTTTCTATCGCTGTAACGCAACTTAAGGAATGAAGCGACAAGTGAATTAAGAAGATCTGGACTGTCTCTGAGGCTTTGTGCCTTTAATAAGAGCAGACTGAATGTGTGAAAAGAATGCTTTTAGCACCAACTTATTCTGCAGAGTGAACTGTGCTTTATTGTCAAATGCAAATTAAAAGCCTTGAAGCATTGAAACAAGCTGGTCTGTGAGTTTGTTTTAAATCTGATGTATTTAAGGGTTTAACTTAACTGTTCAGCAGTCAGTAAACAATCTAAAGACAGAACTTGCTCAAAACGGCTCAAAACTTTTTCACAGAGTTCTGACAAATGTAGGCTACCTGTAAAGACAAATATAATATATATAATATAAATGTATGTTTACGGTTTAGAGAGTTTAAGTATAAATACTAAACAAACACTATGTGGCTGAGACATTACATTTGCAGTATTTACCTGAGGTTAATAGCTAATCAACTTACTGCATCTTATTCTATCCATTTTATTTATTTTGAATTGTCACCTGCCCCCTGAATATTGTGTTTCCTTTTATATGGATAAAGACACTTCCACCATAAATTGATGCAGAAATTTTCACCAGAATGCAGGCAATGAAGTCAATTTCAAATCTCACCTTGGGCTCCAGCATAGTCTGGCCTCACTCAAGTATACTACTTCACCTGTTATCTGCTCTGCTCTGCTCCACTCCGTATGTACACACACACAATTCTAAGCTAGTTGGACAACAATTACAGCCGGCTTGATCTTATCAAGATTGCAGCTTGTAGCGAGAGAAGTGTTACAGCTGAGTTACTCATGACAAACCAGTGAACATAGGAAAGAGACCTGGCTCCCCTTGGATCACCTGTAAGTACCCAATCTGTACTTTCTACCAGATCCCTATCTGAACTTGCACAAAAGTGGTCCTGTCAGTCAAAGAAGGTTACCACAAAATGTGCCTGTTCATAATTACTCTGTTGTTATCTCAGGGCGTCAAATACCGACACTTTCAGAAAGTCAAACAAAGCGTTATTTGATGCAAAAGGTACCCCAGACTGATCTGTATAAGATGGTCTGACTAGACTGGAAGTGACAGTTTCCGCAAAGCCGCTTACCCTGACTATCAAAGGGGTGTGTGCCCAAACCCAAGTCAATGATTGTATGCATGTCGACCGGCTAACCCTACAGCTGTGCACATTTGCCTGATGGCCGACAAACCAGATAATGCTATTATCATACTGAACAGGTTCATCTCAAGTGATTAAAAACATTTCGTTATCTTGAATTGAAAGACTTAGTACCTTCTTTGACTGACAGAACCACTTGGTTGGCTTCACTGTTCCAACTGTGGCTTACATACATGCATTTGCCTTTTAGCAAACTGTAACACTGAGTCTCTCCTATTCTCAAAACCTGACCTTTTATAATTTAAATAATTGCATCCAAGCAACAAATGTAGTGTGTAGCAGTGTGTTGATGAACATCCTACTCAGTAAAGTTACCCTTGTTAAATAACTGCTAGGCCAACATTTTTATGATCCCCATTTATTGTTTGTTCTCTGAAACTTAAGCAGTTGCTGCGACAGCAGGCAACTGGAGGCAATTAAGGTATTTTACAACCATTTGTGGCCATTTGCTGCAATTTGCATCAGAATTCATACCCCACCTCTGAGTTATATCATTTAGTCAAATGTGAAGACACAGATACACGCAAGTTTCGGTTCAGGGTGATATCATTATCTCCGTTCATCGTGAATTAACAACCATAACTCTTTAAGTCCACTGACTCCGGCTGCACGGCGTTTCAGCAGCAGTTACTGAATTGTTGTTAATTTGTAGTTTTTTTGTTTCTACTATCTTCTTCACAGCTCTCTGTGAACCAGTTTTGTTCCGTCATTTGCACGGCTCCATATCCAATAGAGAGCATTTCAGAATCAAAGCGTTTTGTCTGCATGATGTTGTTGACAGTTTTTGTTGATTTGCTTTTTGTGCTTTTACAGTGAATAGCGATGCTACAAAGCATGATGGTCTCTTTTTTTTTTTTAACTGTGTTTATTGTTGTTTCATGATCAGGAGTCTGCACAGCTCGTTCTAGTACACACGGCCGTACAGACAGACGACTCCAGCAAACCTGCAGCCTGAAATAGCTTTAGCCAGCCTACAGCATCAAATCAACACAATGTAGCTGACACAGTGTGTCAATAACCACAGAACAATAGCAGTCAAGAAAAGCACAGAAACTCATTATGCCATCTGTTCTTCTACATTCTCATAGGTCAGTTGGTACGGCTCACTTAACCTTAAAAACAAAAAACAATTGTGACGCATCGTCAAAGAAAATTGCAGTCACAGCTTTGAACAAACTTCCAAATTTATAAAAGGTTAGGACTTTGAAGAAGGCCCATTCAGTCCTGGCTAATCCTAGCTACCCTCTGTCTATGGAGTTGAAGTTGCTTCCTTTGAGCTGTAGAAGCTGAGCACCATCATGCAGGACAAATTGTCACAGCTGCCATTGGCCATTTAAATAATTCATTGTGATTTTATTCTTATTGTTGACTAGTTTATTTTAACTATGGTCCTTGTTTATTTTCTTATGTCATATTTTTTGGCCTATTTATATATTGCTGGTCACACTTTATTTTAAGTTGCTTGTAATAAGCAGTAAGTAACAGTTAAGACGTTTTTAAGACGTTATAAGATGCTTATGAACACAAATAATTCCATTTAAGTGTAAAATAAAACACAACTAACACATTTATTATTGCTAATAAGACACTTAAAGGCTTTTACTAGAAACTTGTTAACAAATTATATATATACCTCATTACCGTTAATAAGATATTTATTAACATTAATAAGACTTAATGAGTTTTAATAATATAAAACAAATTAACTATTGGCTTGTAAGATATTTATTAGCACCTATTAGAAACTTGTTCACAGTTTATAGTCCACTTATCAATGTTAATAAGACGTTATATGACTATGAGTAATCAGACTAATAAGATGTTTATAATAATGCCTTTTAAAGGCTAATAAATCCTTTATTGTGCACTTATTAACCATTAACAATGCTCTTTTATAGCTACTGGAACTAATGTGGGAAGAAGTTGCGTTAATATATTCAATTTATGGGATAAGAATGTACACAGATGGAGAGGAAGACAGAGCTTGTTGCATCATGGGAAGTCCCTCAGCAGTCTAGGCCCATAGCAGCTTAACTGAGGGATGGTTCAGGACTCACCTGAGCCAGCCCAAACTATAAGCTTTATCAAATGTATTTATTTATTTGTTTATTTGTCAGGGACAATGCAAAAGAGACACATTGTAACAGGTTACAATAACTTGAACAGATGTGTTGCAATAAGTTGTATAAGCTTTTCTTTTGCTTTCCTTCTCATGGAAAAACACATTGACACACAGTCTTTTTTAGATTCAGAGCTAAGTGATTGTTTTTAAGCCATAGAGATACTCCCTCCATTTCGCTTGTTAATATCTCTGCTGCTACACAGGGGGTTTTGGCTGGTACATAGATAATTGTGTCATCAGCATACATCTGACATCCAGCTTTTTCACAACATGACGGTAAGTTGTTTATGTATAGACTGATGAGCAGAGGCCCCAAAATCAAGTCTTGTGGAATTCCCATTGTAGATAGTCGGGGGGGTTGAAAATTCTGCATTGATTTTTACACACTGCTCTCTTGATTCGAGATAGGATGCAAACCAGCCAGTTGCTTGCTCAGAAAAGTTAAAAGTACTTAGTTTGTTCAAAAGCACTTCATGGTTCACAGTATCAAAGGCTTGTTTAAGATCTATAAACACTGCTCCAACTACATTACCGTTATCTAATGAGGATTTGATGTATTCAGTGAGATAGCAGTTGGCCATTTCAGTTGAATACCCCGGTCTAAATCCAAATTGTTTAGGGTAAATAAGTAAATTATTTTCAAGGTGGTCAACCAGTTGTTCTGCAACAATGTTTTTCCAGAATCTTTGAGAGAACTGGTAGGATAGAGATTGGTCTATAATTGCTTACTTGGTCTGGTGCACCAACCTTCAAAATTGGCGTTATGACCGCTGTTAGGTTTGTGGAAATTTACCAACTCTAATGGAAAGGTTTATCAGATGTGTTATTGGTTTAATCAGAGTGGAGCTGTGTGTTTTAATAACAGCAATATCCAACCCAAACCAATCCTTTGCCTTTGAATTATTTAATTTCTTAATGATTTTAGCAACTTTCTCTTGGTCAACTTCCTTAATATGAAAGGACTGCAAAGAGTCTGTTATATTTGCCTGTGACAGTTTTACTGCTTTAAAATTTTCAGCAAGCTCCTCCACTAATTGAATGAAATAGTTATTAAATTTATTTGCGATTTCTGTACTGACGATGGTCTGCTTCCTCTTAAATGTAGAGATGGTCTCTGCCTACAGAACACAAACTGGAACCTGATCTCACAAGAGAGAAGCTTGATTGCTGAACGCTCTGGCTCCCATTCTACTTTTAGAGACTCTTTCAACCACAAGTAAACCTGCATTCTGGGAGCACAGTGCTCTGGTGGGTAGTAAGGTACTATGAGCTCTTTAAGATAAGATGGTTCCTGACCATTAAGAGCTTTGTAGGTGAGCAGAAGGATGTGGTCTCACACAGCTGCACTGTATGGCTTGGGAATGTCAATATTGATTAACCACACCATGACACACTTTGCAGGGACATATCAAATCTGCCTGACTGAACAAGCATTACTGTTGTTAAGTTTAATATTTTGAATAAAGTTTATTTGTGTGTCTTGAATGGGTGAAAATTGTCGGACTCAGACCACATCTGTCTTAAGCAGAGATGAGCTCCCACAGCTGCCAAGAGGTCCTTGTCTCATGCAACAAACAGCACCACCATGGACACTTTTGCCTGTTTGTATTGTCGGTGATTCCACCCATCTAGTAGCGTGTAGGGTATCTTCCGGGGTAGATAGGGTAATAACTCAAGTAAAGGAACGGTAACTTTCCATGTTCCTTTTTAAAACTTTCCTTTTAGTGTTTACTGTATTTTTGGGGCCATTAATCTATTTTTGTTTTCAATACAACCAGTCTGTTACTGACCGTGTATTTTGCTACATTAACTGAAATGAGCTGTCATCCAAGCTGTTTTGAACTGGAGAGTGGCTAAAGCAGATTTCAGGTAAAACATCAGAGGTCTCTGTCCAGTAGAGTGCAGTCCTAGGAACAGCTAAGATACTGTGCAGAACCCTCAAACTCCCAGGCCTCTGGAAGAGGACCCAAGCTTGAAGATGACACATACCACCCCGCAAGGGGTGAGAGGTGGATTTTTATTATTTTTTAATTTTTTATATATACTTATGAGGCAGGTTGACAATCGCTGAAACTATCAACAAGTCCGTATGACTTCACATTTACTTCTCTAGGTTCAAAGGCCAAAAATCAGCAAAAGACAATACGAATGAATGAGTGAATTAATAAAATATGACACATACATCACTTATATTTGTATGAGACTCTTGCTTTTGTATTTGGTATCTGACAAATGAATGTAATAAAACTAAAGTATTTCCTGATGAGCACACACCCACATGTCTTATGATACATGCTTTTACATAGTAAAAGTGTAAGTCTTTTATGGTTTCAGAGATTTTAGATATGGCGCCAAAGAGTAACATAAGTGCAGTCCATGGACGTATCTGTCATATTTTTTAGGATGCCTATTGTTTTGTGAATGAAGTTGCCATAATTTAAAACAAATACCCTGAACCATTCAGCCATAATCATTGATTTTGTATCTATCTTTTTGTAGCTTACAGGTGGCAGACAGTCGTGTTACACCCCCTCACTGCCTTGAAAGAAAGACTAGCCTTCAAAGTAAACAACAGTGTGACAGCTGATGTCATCTGAACAGCTGCAATTCTGATGATGGTTAACTATGAATACATCTCTTTTATAATCCACCATCAACTAAGGTGGAGTATATATGTTTTATGTACATATTTACTTATGTAAACATATATTGCCATTATTGGATGGTCAGCTTACTGTATATAAGGCTGACACTGAGAAGAAGAAGAAGATAATCCTCCAGCAGGTTTGCTTCACTTTTCTCTCTCCATCTCTTTGTTTTCTATTTTGTTGTCACTTATTTGTAGGAGGCCTGCGGTCGTTACCTCTGTTTCTGAAGTATTACTAACACGTCTGTCTCTCTTTGTTGAAGGTAATCATCAACTTTTAAATCAGCATCACCTCCACCATGAAGACGCTGATTCTGTCTGCACTTCTTTGTGCCGTGATCACGCTGACCAGAGCTGCTGGTGAGAGTCGCTGTTTACAACATGTGTGTGTGTTCTGACTGAGTTTGTGAGGAAAAATACACAGCAACATGATGGACATAATCACTAACTGGTGTGTTTAACTGTTCAGCTCTTTCAGAAGCAAAGGATGAAGGTGGGGAAGTGGCAATAATTCAAGAAGGTGAATACATATTTCTTCACTGTGTTTTGTAAACTTTGTCTGGAGACTCAACTTGACCCACTTGTCTTCTTTTGACTTGATCAGGAGAGCATCATATCTTGGAGAGGTCAACATCTTGTCCCAGTGGTTGGACTAAGATCAGTGATCGCTGTTTCCTCTTCGTTCCACGAACCATGACTTGGGCTCAGGCTGAGGTACAAGATGATTTGGATTTGATGCAGAGTGCTTCTACGTTGAGTTTGTTCTGTTTGTATGGACTTGCACACTTAACTTTACTTTGCATCTTCTTCTAGCTTTATTGTCCTCTTATGTTGTTTTTCTACCCCATCTTTTTGTGTTTGTCTCCACTGTAGAGAAACTGTCTGTCCTTAGGTGCACACCTTGCATCTGTACGTAGAGCTGAGGAGTATCATCAGATTCAAAGGCTGATAGCAGATAAAACTCATGGGAATCCACAGACTTGGCTCGGAGGCTCTGACGGTGCAGAGGTATATAATAGTCATTTTTTATGTTTGAAGGTTCTTTCTAGACATAATAATAATTTGACCTCCATTTGCTCAGGAAGGCCATGAGATGTGACCCCCTCCCTATGCAGACTTTGTTGCTCTATTACAACGTCACATGACAATGAAATGACTGATGCTGTTGTTCCTCTTCTGAGAACTTATATTAGACTTCATAATGAAATTTTTTTGTCAGAGCTTTATGGTCTTTGTAGTACTTGGTATTTACAGTGTTTGATTCAGTTTATATTGTCATTTATAAATTTATTCAATTCTGATTTGTGTTTTCTAGGAGGGTTTTTGGTTCTGGAGTGATGGTACGCCTTTCACCTTTTCATACTGGTGCAAAGGAGAGCCAAATAACATTAGGGGCCAGCACTGTTTACAAATGAATGATGGAGGTAAATCAGAAATTATTTTACAAAGACAGTAATGTAGTATTGGTGGCAATAAATGCCATATTAATGACACATTTGAGATCAGTTCATAAATGTATTCATCATTTCTTCAGCACATACCTCTGCCAAGGCTGTAAAGCCTCTCCATTTATTTTTTTTATGATACAAAATGTTTGGTTTTAATCTTCATCAGCATCAAATGATACATTCTGCTAAATAACCACGCCCATGTCTTTCTGATACACACAGGTAACAAATGCTGGGATGATATGCAGTGTCACAGTCACCTTCCATCCGTCTGTGTAAAGAAAACCAGCTGATTCCTGGGCTGACACAGAGGCATGAAGCACCTGGAAAAATCACAAACACGGGCAGATGTTCTTTAAACTCATCTCTCTTCATGCCATCAGTCTCATATGTACCCTGAAGGCTCTATATCTCATTTCATGTCTTTATTTTATTTTCTATCGCTGTAACGCAACTTAAGGAATGAAGCGACAAGTGAATTAAGAAGATCTGGACTGTCTCTGAGGCCTTGTGCCTTTAATAAGAGCAGACTGAATGTGTGAAAAGAATGCTTTTAGCACCAACTTATTCTGCAGAGTGAACTGTGCTTTATTGTCTAATGCAAATTAAAAGCCTTGAAGCATTGAAACAAGCTGGTCTGTGAGTTTGTTTTAAATCTGATGTGTTTAAGGGTTTAACTTCACTGTTCAGCAGTCAGTAAACAATCTAAAGAAGTTATCTTGTTGGAAACGAGAGGAGGTGCTGCAAGAAATATATGCTCCTCAATCAAATACAATTTTAAATATGTCTAGTAAAAATAATAGAAAATCATTATGTGGCAGTCAGTCTTGATAACTATCTAAATTATAGGCTAATTATGCAAAACACTGCTTTCACTTCCACCACCCTTCACCCCCAAACCAAGCAGTCTCTCCCAACTTTAACTAATATCATATTCATAACAGCAGCAAGGAGTGTGTTTTTTTTACTAAACATCTAGCCTGGGCCTATCTTTCCTAACACCACCGGCTGAAATAAAAAATTAAAGCAAGTAAATCCTGACTTTTGAACAGCTGTTTTTCTGCACATGTAGCCAATTTACAGGAGCAGTATTCAGTATTTTTTCAAAACGTTACGTTAACGCCACTCTCTCCAGACAGTCCAAGCATCACTGACAGTAGCGGCCGGAGTTTCTTTCTGTAAGTATGTTTTATTCCTACTGTGTAAAGGGAATACTGCTGGTAAAAAGCACCTTATTTGTGCTTGCAAAAGAAAAAAATGGAAAAAGAAAAAAATACATTACACAGTAGATCTGACTTCGACTGTTAACTGGTGTTGTGACATACCAAAAGCTCGTGCATCCATTACATGTGATAAAATAAACTTTTAAAGTGAGACTCAGTGTAATGCAATGTGAGACTACATGACCCCAACAGAACAGACCTGGGCTGTTGACAGTATTCCTATATGTATTTTATACTGGAACTGCAACAGAGCTGCAGTGTACAAATATTAGTATTGCACTAATGTTACATGTATCTGTAAGTCAAAATCCCTCAATATTATAAACTCAACATAGCTGCAGTTCGCATGTGGGCCTACAATAAACCCTAGCCCAGGGGTTTTCAAAGTCTGACAATGTGGGCCTCCTCCTAAGGCACTGTATTTGTTTCTGACTGGGGAAGTTGTCAAAACATGAATACTAGCCTACTCCATCTCTGAACTATCTCTTTAACCAAATCAAATGCATTTAAGCTATTCTGTGTGAGCTCTTTTTGATAATGTATTATTTTTTCCCTACCATGCACTGAGTCTCCACTGAAACTGTGAGCCCACCTGAGGAGGCCCTCACTTTGTAAACCTTTGCCACGGTCACATTGACCATGGAGAATGCTAATGCCAAGTTCAACACTCTGATATGCAAAATAAACAGAAAAGCAACATAAAAACACAAAAGTTACAGTTTCCAAGTTTGAAGTTTATATTTGTCCAAACATGTGTTTTTATTTATGATTCACCATGAGAAAATAAGTATTGAGTTTAACGTCTGTATGTTTGATCTTGTTTTCATCAAACAAAGCAAACAGACAGCTAAAACGAACCCTTCTATGAAAAACACTGTTGTTGTTTCCAACATGACTTGCAGATAAACGACTATCAATTAATCAACATCCCTGGTATTTCATTGATCCAGAACATTTCTAAGAAGTACAAGCTTCTGAATAGTACTGTGCAATTAGTCAAATTTTAATCACAATTTTGATTTTGGCTTCCAAAAATTAAGTTAATGAAAATAAAGCGATTATTGTGCTGCATGCTGTTTCGCAATGACACACGTTTTTTCTTGTGCTGTAAATTCAGCACACCAAAGCAAAGTGGTAATAAGTGGTTATTAAATACAAGATATTGAATGACTACTTAAACTATTAAATGATTGAATAAAGTAATTTAGTAAGATAGAGCAAAGAAACCGTTCATGAAATTACATAGATGCATAAATGCATACAGGTCATTTTTGCACAATCTTGTGCATTAGAAGGGGTTTGCATAGTTTGTGCATCACAGGGTTAAGTTTGGTTACTTTCTTTTCTAATTGTTATGGCCTTTGGCACCCATCTGTAATTTCACCGTGCATATGTTCCATCTGATATGCTAAGCAGGCTGTGCAATCCCATGCTGCGGATTGGCTGTGCAGTAAAGGAAAGTCCCGCCTAGTTTCTGGGTTCCCCTGCAACGTTGTCACTGATTGGTGCTGCATGCTACCGCTGGCCCAATGGAGGAGTTCCAGCGAAGATTGCCTTCTGGGTAAATAGCCTTTGTGGACTGCAGTTCAGGGCAGCTGTCAGACCCAGTGGACTTACCAGAGGCCTGTTTCAGAAAGCGGGTTTAGTGAAAACTCCGAAATGATTTTCCGTTTCAGAGAGCGAGATCAGATAAAAAACAGCAATTTATGCTGTGAACCTAACCTGTCTGACATTTCCTCATTCATACTGTCGATATCAGACACATTATATATATATAGACACATTTTACATTGCAAAATAAAAATCATTAATAGGCCTACTGAGTCGGACTGTCACTTTACAATCACAGGGCCATGAGTAGCCTAAACTGTGTCTAATCTGTTCCATTAATATTTCATCTTCAGTTATTGCCACCGGCATTTAGTCCCGTCAGGTTACAGCTTAATAAACAGGCCTGTAGCTATTTTAAATGAATAACAGGCTGGAAGAGAATTCCAGCAATTTATCATTCATTAAGGAAATTCCAGTTTGGTAAGTGATGAATGAGCAACGCTGTATAAAATCTAATATTGTTAACGCAAAGTATTTTAGTCAGAGAAGTTTTTGGTTTTGTTTTTTGTTAGCTCTATTAGCCTTTTTTTTAAATAAATATCCTTTCAAATACCAATTACATCTGGTTTATGTTTCCCTCAAAACTTCAATTAATAACCAAGTCCCAAATTGCCGCCTACACCGTTTACTGGCCTGGTGTGGGAACACATTTTGACAAATAAACGCAGGCCTGGATTAAACGCCTGGTCTGTACTTTGGATGTATAAAACCTTGTAAACCCCATGGGGTCGCCTGCTTTAGCTGCTTCTAAGCTGCTTAGGTCATTAATACAAATATAAATGTTTAAACTTTTGATTAATATGTCAGTATCATGCTACACATTGTTAGATCGGTTGGTTTCTCCACAATTCAATCGTTCAGTTAATTTAACGGAAACATCAAGCCCCAAAGTGTAATTGTTGTATAGATTTAAAGGCAGGGTCAATTCAGTGATTTTAGCAAATAAAAGCCCAGGCTATTAATCAAAGTTTTATGGTATGTCCCGATACCCATAGCACTATGGGATGTAACACTAATAAATACTAAAAGACAGTAGCCTACCTGTTCTGCCATTGTGTCCTGCATTTAGGTTCCAAAACCAGTAACTGGCCTGAGCTCACAGCACCAATCCTGACAGTACGGACCAGCCAGTATGGACCCAGTGGACACTGTTGGACTGCTAGGAACCTGGGGGGCCATTAAGAGTGCCTAAAGATATTTTCAAGCCCTTTCTGGGCTTGGTACCAGCAACTGGAAAGCTGAGCTTGGAACCAGCAACTGGAGAGCCCGGCTTGGTACTGGCAATTAGGAAGATTGCACATTGATAGTGGCTGGATAGGAGGTGTTCAAAGAGACTTCTCAATCTAACACTGTGGCAGCCAACAAAGCCAGTTACTTGTGATTGAGATGCTAAATATTATGAGCATATAGTTTGGTATATGCCTATTAAGGCACTTTGAATTAAAAATATGAATGTGTTTATTTTGGGTTAGTATCTTATATTATAGAGACTAGTACCGGTTCACCCTTTGTTATCTGGATGTAGGGGGGTGAGTTATTTTAGTAAATGTTGAGATAGTCTTTCGACCACTTTTTGAACAGTTGTTATGGCTTGAATGGATTTTTCATTGAACAATGTTTGAGCACTTTGGAGTGTGTTACATAAATTAATCAGATTTTTTAAGTGAGAAGAATTTCTTAAAAGACCACTTATTCAGTGCCTGAGGCTTTTAATGTGGGAAAACAATTAGGTTAATTTAATCATAGCCCACATATGGGCTACATTTCTAAAAGTGACACGTTGCTTACTGTTAATGAATTAACATCTACTCCCTAAAGCACCTTGGCTGAAAGACGTATAAATGTAATATTGTGTTAATAACTCCTTTTCTTACAGTATTTTCAGCTGCAACCCCAGTGGAAATCATTCCTGACAACAAACAGGAGGACGTGGGTGAGGTGACCCTGTCAGCCATGTCTGACAAACACATTAAGGTTGACCATTTCATCTCTTGTACTTTCATGTCTATTTAACACTGACTAACATAGGTTAATACTAAGCTATGTGTGGCAAATTGCATCTATTGAATGAGAGTGGGCCTTCAAGAAAACTGTTCCCCTCCAACGGCTATCTCCTCTAAGGCCTCTGAGAGATCCCACAGGGTAGCTTTTCCTTTGCTATTAAAAGGACTAGTCATACTAACGATATGTAACACTGATGATGCCAATTCCTGCCTCCCATGTTTGTTCTCTCAATATATTTTTCTATGCTGGCTGGATGTGATAACCTGGATTATTGCAACAGCCTTTTCACCTATTTAACCCAAAAATCTATTGATCAACTCCAGACTGTCCAGAACTCAGCTGCCAGGCTTTTAACCAGAACAAAGAAATATGACCACATTACTCCTATTTTAGCTTCATTACACTGGCTCCCAGTATGTTTTAGAATTGACTTTAAAATTCTATTGATCACTTTTAAAGCTCTTCATGGCCTCTCGCCTTGTTATATTTCTGACCTTTTAGTCCCATACACACCAGCACGTACCTTGAGATCCTCGGGCAGAGGTCTGTTGTCTGTTCCAGAGTCTCGACTGAAAACTAAAGGGGGCAGAGCGTTTGCTGTCAGGGCCCCGAGGCTCTGGAACAGCCTGCCCGAGGAAATCAGGTCGGCTGAGTCAGTGAACTCTTTTAAGTCTCTTCTTAAAACATACTTTTATAGGAGAGCCTTTCCCGATCTTATTTGACTTTATTTTATCCCTTTATTTTATTGTATTTTACAAATTTTATATTAATCTGTATTTTAGTCTTTTCAATGTTTTCATGCTCTTTTTTGTATTATTCTTTACACTTGTTAAAGCACTTTGTAACTTTTTTTTGAAAAGTGCTCTACAAATAAGGATTATTATTATTATTATCTGCAGTTGCTCTATAATAGAATGATTGAGCTAGATTTCCTGACTAACTAAATCTCCAAATATACTTTATAGAAACGTGTCTAAAACATTATTTTACAAGGCCGTCTGAGGGTCATTTTTATTGCCACCACGTAGAACTGGTTTATTACAGAGAACAGTAAAGTATGGAGCAGTGGTGGCATGGGATTTATTAACCACGAAATTATCAAGCTTCTCAAAGTGCAATTTTAGTCCTAAGTGCTGACAATTCATGAAATTTACTCCTACTATAAAACTTATGAATAAAAGCAAGTTATCACATTTCTCAAAGCTAAGAATCACTCTTACTCTCCCAGTTATTTAAGACAGCTTGAGAGGTCTCTCAAGTGGTTAGGAGCTGCCAGTAGGGCAGGTAGACAGAGACATGCGGAGAGGAGAGGAAGAATTCTGACCGCGAAGGCATAAATTTTGTCAGCGAGTTGGTGAGGGACGTCATCTCACCACTGACTATACACAGTAATGCGTTTTCAGTTAAATTGAAGGTGGAGATGACGCTTCATTTATTATCCACAGGACAAGCAATGCTGATGATTTTGGCCCGTCACAACCATCAATGAGCCGAATAGTCATGGAAACAATTTTAGCACTTACAGCTCCACACACTGACACCAAAAACTCACAGCTTAGAATCCAAAGCATGGCAAAAAGCAGGGTTATCCAAAAACATAGACACAGGACAGAACACTCAACATGCGACGACAAGGATGTAAGAAAGACAGAACAGAATTCAGGACTTAAATACCAGGGCAAACGAGTAGGGGGCAAGTGAACAGGTGAAAGACTAAGACACAACAGGAACAAAGCTAGACATGGACACCAGACACATACTGTTACTAAATTGCTGGGCCTCACAGTCTGGTAGAACAAAGACTGGGCCTTCTGATATCCTACAAGCCTGACCCCAGCCTACAAGCCCACCATACGGCTTGACTACACAAAGGAGGTCAGAGAACAATAGAAAGCCCAAATGGCCTGTCAGTTAATTCACACCTAGTTAACTCTAACTTTTAAAACCAAACCAAAGGTTTGTATTGGCTAAAGCTTTCAGGGGGTGGAGTTATCCCAGGAAGTACAGCCATTTTGTCAACAGAGGTATGAAACCAAACATGAAACCAAACACCTCAGAACCCTCTTTGCAATTCCCAGTTCTCCAGAGGACTGTAAGGAGGTAAACAAACTTTGCCTTTCTGCAACTTTCTTTGTTCCTGAATACAGGCTTCACTCGCTGGACGAGCAAATCTGTTTTCTTCTTTCTTTTTACCTCTATTATTTTTACCAACACAATTTTGGATCCCTAAAGAAACTGCTATACACAAGATAACGTTTCGTGCCTGCAGAAGAAGACGGATAAACTCTGTGTTTAACTGAGAGAAGATCATCTCCGTGTTATACCTTCTCAACCAACGTCGACTTCACTTTACTGTCGCTGCCGCCAAAGAATCAGCTGTGCTGTGGAACCTACCGGCATCGTCAGAACCGAGCTGAGAGAAACTCCGCCGATTTCCCAAAAGGACTGACGCATCTACTCGCTATCAAAGCGACATGTAAGAGTCTTTAGTAGGTCTGGGCAGCAGATAGTTCTATAACCTTGTTATTGTAACTTACTTATAAGCTTCATATGGTGAATTTCTTTTAAGAAACTCCAAGGGATATTTAAAGACCACATGTCTTGTTTATTGCTGTGTGTTTTCCATGCAACACACGTTGTTGTGTCCGGTACCACCTGCTGGCCCGTGATGCTTTATTCCTATTACTGTGTGAAAACGTATCAGTATTTTTATCAAGCCAGGGAACACGGTTGCTGAATGCAAGTTCACTACCGTCCCTCTCATTTGATAATGTTGTAGCTGAGTGTTTTCAACAGTAATTAGGATTTTTGGTGTTTGTTTCTTTTGTCTGTGAACAGATACAATTGCACATTCTATCTAATCCAAAGCAGCAACCGCTGCTGAATGAATCGTTCACTGCTGGTGGCTGTAAGATAGTTTGTGGTATACTGTATGTATATAGCTTGGCTCTGTGCCTTTCTCTCCTCCTTCTGCTTACTAACCTCACATGCACACACCACGTGATCACTGAATCTAACCAGACTTGTGATCCACAGCAGGCTAGCATCAGAGTGCGTCCCCATTTTTTTTTGTTCAGGGGACAGTGATTTTCCACCATCTTGATCTTGAAATCACATGGTTTGAACCGCCATCTTGATTCCAAAATCAGCTGGCCTCTAGCACAACCGGATCTGGCACCACCCACGTGGTCAGATCCACCCCCATCTCTTAGTCCCTCCCCCTCCTTAGTCTCTCACACGCCCACACACACACAGACACACACACACACATGCTTGCTGAATTGTTGTATGTTTTTGTATGATTTTGTTTATTGACTTTATTTTATTTTTGCTTAGAATAGTTAACAGTGATTTACTTGCTAAAGTTATTGTTCATTGTTCATACTTGGCTCATATTTGGTTATTAGTCCCTGATTCCAGGGTGGTGCCCCGTATTTATTAATTATAATTAATAATTGTAAATATTAATAATTGTATTAATATTTATTTTTAACTGAAATGAGCATCCAAGCTGTGTTGAACAGGAGAGCTTTTACCGGTGCGCTTGTAGACTTCATTCAACAATAGGCAGCTCCCAGGTAATTGCCACCAATTCTTTATGCTGTAAAGATATCGTTCATAGATGCTTGATAAATAATATTGAATTGGCTGCCTGAGCTATTAGAGAAGGCAGATCATATGCAGACCCTTCACATCAATGCTTGTTGTTTTGTTGGGTACATGTCCATATTAAGGTAACAACAGATACAGGCAAAAACAACAGACTAGGCAGCAAGCAAGTATGATCATTTAAAGTGACCTTACTGATACGTTTGTGTAGATGAAAACAAAAGTAAAATAATTGTATTGAACAGAAACTGGACACCAAAGCGTATTCTCTAGAAATAACCATGTTGCACAGCGGATGGAACACTTATTATTAAAAAAAACTTGACACTTGGCTTGGACTTGCACAAAGTAACTTTTGTGCAAGTCTTCAGGTTCTGTGGGAGCTGTACCATCACTTCTAGGACAGTACTCCTTGTTCTTCTGTATGCTGAAGGTAGGTCTAGACACTAAAAACTCCTGGGTTATTTCTTCAACCCATTTTCTGGGTTAGTTGTGTTGGGTTAAAATTATGGGTTATTTGTTCAGAGATTAACCATTTTCTGGGTTATAGTGCTAATATTTTGACCCAATTCCTGTGTTGTTTGGGTTTCTGGTTTATTTTTCAAAGAGTAACCCATGTTTTGGCTTTCTCTCTCTCAAATTCAGATTAACTTTATTGGCATGAATGTATAGCAACCACCCCGCAGTTGTTCTGGAATTTTCTTACAACAGTTGTTTAAAATAACCGTTGCTTCGCACTCGATTCATTTTGGCCTGTGGTTCTTTGGTGCAACTTTGTGGTGTATACAAGGTAAGCGAGTATTTTCAGTGTTGATGTAACGTAAACTTTTCTGTGTCCATGTCCCCGTTGCTAGTTTAGCACCATTTTCTGAAAAAATTAACATGGCTTAGTTGCTACATTGAGACTAGCGTTAGCCATGGTAATTCTGTGGTTGCCATGTACACCTAACTAGCTTAAAGTCCGTGTAAAGTCACACATGATATGACACAACCAATGTTTGAAAACTTTAAGCCTCAAGTTTAATCCAGTTATTGAATGTTTGAGAAAGAATGTTTGACGGTTGTTTATTTTTCTATTTTTTTTATAGAGTTTAATGTAATTTAATGCAATAAAAATGTAAAAGTAAAAGTGCTTGAAGTGTGTAATATTGTCACAGTCACATGTCTTCCTTTGTTCTGTTTTCCAGCCATCTGTTTCCATGGTTTCTATCATTTAGTTAATTTGCATCACCTGTGTTTAGTTAATTACTATCATCATCATCTGTTCCACCTGTGTTCTGTTAATCAATGTTCATCTTTGTTAGTATTTAGTTCCTTCAGTTCAGTCAGTCTTTGGCCGTTCTACTTTGCAGTCTTGTTTAGTGTGTGTACAACCTGCCTCTCTGTACCTTTTGGAGTTGCTTTATTAGTGAAACATTTGAACTGGAACTTTGGACTCCTCCTCTTCTTCTACTGCCTGCACCACACCGTGACAGATATAATGTAAGACAAAGTTTTATTTTCTGAAATAAGGCATACTCATACTATTTCAACCCAGATATTGGGGTTGTTCTTTTGACCCAGAAGTTGGGTTATATTAAATACAATGTTGGTTTTTTTTAACCCAACATTTGGGTCAGGTATTTAACCCAGAAGTTGGGTCAAAAATAACCCATTATGGGTGTATATTTTTTTTCCATTTAGTTTTGTAGAAGTGAAACAAGTTGCCATATTTCAAGAAGAAAAAACATGAAACATTCAGCTATGATCATTGATTTAATTTCTAACTATAGCTTGCAGATGGCAGACTGTCGTGTTACACCGTCTCACTGCCTTGAAAGAAAGATTAGTCTTTAACAGTGGGACAGCTGATGCCAACTGAACGGCTGTAAATCTGATAATGGTTAATTATGTATGCATCTCTTTTATAATCTACCATCAACTAAGGTGGAGTATGTATGATGTATGTACTTATGTAAACATACTTTGTGACTGATAGATGGTCAGTTTACTGTATGTAAGAGCGGGTCTTGGTCTTTCTCAGCATCTACACTCAGGCTGACACTGAGAAGAAGATAATCCTCCAGCAGGTTTGCTTCACTTTTCTCTCTCAATCACTAAATTTCTATTTTGTTCTCCGTCATATAAATATCAATTATATTTTAAATAGGACACTTAAAATAACCAAGGATGACCAAGGTGCTTTACAGGTTAAAAAGGAAATGTCAAAGAAAAGAGATGTGTTTTTAAGAGAGTTGTTGTGGTTCTGATAATGGATTGGCAGGTTTGGAAGACATAATCACTAACTGGTGTGTTTAACTGTTCTGCTCTTTCAGAATCAAAGAAGGTGAATACATATTTCTTCACTGTGTTTTGTAAACTTTGTCTAGAGACTCAACTTGATCCATTTCTCTTCTTTTGTCTTGCTCAGAAGAGCATCATATCTTGGAGAGGTCAACATGTTGTCCCAGTGGTTGGACTAAGATCAGCGGTCGCTGTTACCTCTTCGTTCCACGAACCATGACTTGGGCTCAAGTTGAGGTATGATATGATTTGGGTTTGATGCAGAGTGCTTCTACGTTGAACTTGTTCTGTTTGTATGGACTTGCACACTTGGTAACTTTGCATCTTCCTCTCACTTTGGTGTCCTCTTATGTTGTTTTTCTACCCCATCTTTTTGTGTTTGTCTCCACTGTAGAGAAACTGTCTGTCCTTAGGTGCACACCTTGCATCTATACGTAGAGCTGAAGAGTATCACGGGATTCAAAGGCTGATGGCAGATAAAAATTATGGGAATCCACTGACATGGCTCGGAGGCTTTGAAGATGCAAAAGTATAGAATTCATTGTTATCAAAAGTCACATTTTATGGTTGAATGTTCCTTCTTGACCTTGGAAATAAAAGTTTGACATCCAGTTGCTCAGGAGATCTGACTTCCTCCCTATGCGAACTTCGTCACTCTATCACGGTCACATGACTTCCTCATAATTTTTACAGCCAGTAGAGGGTTTGTTACTTTAACGTAAACAGACAGACTGCTGCAATGACAGATGCTGTTCCTCTTCCTCTTGGTCAGTTTACTGTATGTAAGAGCGGGTCTTGGTCTTTCTCAGCATCTACTCAGGCTGACACTGAGAAGAAGAGAAGACAGTCCTCCAGCAGGTTTGCTTCACATTTCTCTCAATCACTAAATTTCTATTTTGTTCTCTGTCATATCAATTTTATTTATATAGGACACTTAAAATAACCAAGGATGACCAAGGTGCTTTACAGGTTAAACATAAATCAATAAAAAAGTAAATGCACCATTAAAGTACTGCAATACAAGATTATAACATACAGTTTATGATTTATAGTGATATTAAAATTGCCAGGGATAATAACTAACTTAACTCAAAGGAAATGCCAAAGAAAAGAGTTGTGTTTTTAAGAGTTGTTGTGGTTCTGATAATGGATTGGCAGGTTAGGGGTAGCTACACCAAAGGCTCCATTGCCTCTGCTTCTGGGTACATCCAGGAGGAGGAGATTGGTAGAGCTCAGCACTCTAGTTGGAGTGAACGCAAAGAAGCTCCATTAAGTAAAGCGGCGCCAATCCATTAAGACATTTAAAAGTAAGATTTTAAAATCAATCCTGTAATGAACAGGATGCCAGTGGATGGAGCGCAAGAGAAGTGTGATGTGGTCCCTCTTTTTCTTTCCTGTCAAGAGGCAGGCAGCAGCATTTTGGACTAACTGAAGGCGTTGAATGGATGACTTGTCTAAGCCCACATATAATAGTTAGTCATATGTAGGAGGACAGCAGTCACTACATCTGTTTCTGAAGTATTACTAACACGTCTCTCTCTTTGTTGACGATAATCATCAACTTTTAAATCAGAATCCCCTCCACCATGAAGACGCTGATTCTGTCTACACTTCTTTGTGCCGTGATCACGCTGACCAGAGCTGCTGGTGAGAGTCGCTGTTTACAACATGTGTGTTGTTTGTGAGGGAAAAGACAAACTGTCTATATCCATCATGTTGCTGTGTATAATCACTAACTGGTGTGTTTAACTGTTCAGCTCTTTCAGAAGCAAAGGATGAAGGTGGGGAAGTGGCAATAATTCAAGAAGGTGAATACATATTTCTTCACTGTGTTTTGTAAACTTTGTCTGGAGACTCAACTTGACCCACTTGTCGTCTTTTGACTTGATCAGGAGAGCATCATATCTTGGAGAGGTCAACATCTTGTCCCTGTGGTTGGACTAACATCAGCGGTCGCTGTTTCCTCTTCATTCCACAAACGATGACTTGGGCTCAAGCTGAGGTAGGAGATGATTTGGGTTTGATGCAGAGTGCTTCTACGTTGAACTTGTTCTGTTTGTATGGACTTGCACACTTGGTAACTTTGCATCTTCCTCTTGCTTTGGTGTCTTCATATGTTTTTCTACCCCATCTTTGTCTGTTTGTCTCCACTGTAGAGAAACTGTTTGTCCTTAGGTGCACACCTTGCATCCGTACGTAGAGCTGAGGAGTATCACGGGATTCAAAGGCTGATATCAGATAAAACTCATGGGAATCCACTGACATGGCTCGGAGGCTTTGAAGGTGCAGAGGTATATAATTCATTGTTACAAAAGGTCATATTTTATGGTTGAATGTTCCTTCTTGACCTTGGAAATAAAAGTTTGACATCCAGTTGCTCAGGAGATCTGATTTCCTCCCTATGCGAACTTTGTCACTCTATCACGGTCACATGACTTCCTCATAATTTTTAGAGCCACTAGAGTTTGTTACTTTAACGTAAACAAACAGACTGCTGCAATGACAGATTTTGTTCGTCTTCTGAGAACTTAAAGTAGACTTTGTAATGAGAGAGTCTTTGGTCTTTATAGTATATGTGATTTACAGTGTTTGATTTTGTTAATATTATGTATAAATCCATTAACTTTCAATTTATGTTTTCTAGAGGGGTTTTTGGTTCTGGAGTGATGGTACGCCTTTCACCTTTGCAAACTGGTGCAAGGGAGAGCCAAATAACCCTTATGGCCAGTACTGTTTACAAATGAATGATGGAGGTAAATCAGAAAAGACATTATTACATTTTTCATGAGAATAATGTACTTGATGTGAATAAGAAGCTATATTAATGTCAACTTTGAGATCAGTTCATAAATGTATCCATCATTTCTCAATCACATGCCTCTACAAAGGCTGAAAGCTTCCCCATTTATTATTTAATGAGACAAAATGTTTGATTTTAATCTTCATATGCATCAAACATTCATGCTCATATGTTTCTCATACACACAGGTGACAAATGCTGGGATGATATAAGGTGTGGCAATCACCTTCCATCTGTCTGTGTTAAGAACACCTTTGGACTCTGGGGCTGATACAGAGGCATGAAGCACCTGGAAAAAGTGAAAAGTTAAACTCCTCTCTCTTCATGCCATCAGTCTCATATGTACCCTGAAATGATTTCATGTCTATTTTATTTTCTATCGCGGTAACGCTACTTAAGGAACGAAGCGACAAGGGAATTAAGAAGATCTGGACTGTCTCTGAGGCTTTGTGCCTTTCATAGGAGCAGACTGAATGTGTTATGAAAAGAATGCTTTTAGCACAAACTTATTCTGCAGAGTGAACTGTGCTTTGTTGTGTTACACAAATTAAAAGTCTCAAGCATTAAAACAAGCTGGTCTGTGACTTTCTTTTAAATCTGATGTATTTAAGGGTTTAACTTCACTGTTCAGTAAGTAAACAATCTAAAGACAGAACCTCAGTCATTTTGTTGGACACTTTTAAAGTTAATTTGTATTTCACTGACAGAAGAGGGGATAGCATCAATGCTGCAAACCTTTATCATAAAATGTCAACTGAACAAAGGACTAATGTCCTTCTGTTCAGATAAACATTTTTAAGGATCACAACTCTGTCATTGTAGAAAAACTAGCTATGAGCTCACAGAAACTCCTGAGATTTATTGGGTCAGTCTGACAGGAAACATCCCTTTGCAGGTGACTGTAGTGATGTGCTGGCCTGTATGAAGGGCACTCCAGTATCATTTCAAATGTGTACTTATGGCAACAGATACAAACACTGCAAAAATGAATACATTTTTTATCAAGTATGGAGGGAAAAAAAATTGACTTCAACTGTAACTTGTGACATACCAAAAGCTCCTATATTCAGGTTCATAATGAACTTGAAAAAGTATTGTCACTCGGGTAGTGTTTTCAAAACATTGTGAAACGTTGCAACTTGGTTAAGTTTAGGCACAAAAAGTACTTGGTTGGGTTTAGGCAGCACAACTACTTGGTTAAGGTTAGGAAAAGTTCATGATTTGGGTTGACTTAATGTATGTCAGTTAACATGTAAGTTAACTAACGTCAATTTATGTAACTTGCCACCTTAAATAAAAATATTTAATGTTGACTTTTTGTTTCACACAAGAGTCAGTCCCCTCCAGAAGTATTGGAACAGTAAGGCAAATTCCTTTGTTTTTGTTGTTCACTGAAGACATTTGGGTTCAAGATCAAAAGATAAATATGAGACAAGAGTTCAGAATTTCAGCTTTTATTTCCTGGTATTCACATCTTGCGTTGTGAACACAGGACATATCACCCTTTGTTTGAATGTATGTATTGGAACATGTGACTGACAGATGTTTCTTGTTGCCCAGGTGATGACTTTTAGGTTGATTGTCCAAACATTAAATAGCTCTGCATGACTAGTCTAAGTTTTCATCCTTGGTTCAAACCTATAAAGACTGCATTTCCTGTTAAAGAGGATAAACCAACATGAAGACCAGAGAGCTGTCCATGGGAGAAAAACAAGCCAATGTCACTCTGAGAAAAGAAGGAAAATCGACCAGAGTCATTGGACAAACATTGGGCATAGCAAACACAACAATGTGGAATGTCCTGAAAAAGACAGAAACTACTGGTGTACTGAGCAACAGACGTTGAACAGGTCGGCCAAGGAAAACAACAGTAGTTGATGACAGAAATATCGTTAAAACCCCCAAAACATCAGTAAGTGACATCACCAACAACCTCCACAGTGCAGGGGTGAATGTTTCAAAATGCACTGTTGGAAGAAGACTCAGAGAGCAGAAATATAGAGGCCACACCACAAGATGCAAACCACTCATCATGGAAGTATCGGAAGGCCAGATAGAAATTTGCAAATAAGTACAGAGATGAGCCGCAGAAGTTCTGCAACACAATCTTATGGACTGATGAGACCAAGATTAATCTCTAGCAAAGTGATGGAAAGGCCAAAGTGTGGAGAAAGAAAGGAACTTCTTATTATCCGAAGCATACAAGCTCATCTGTGAAGCATGGTGGAGGTGATGTCATTGCTTGGCCGTGCATGGCTGCTTCTGTAACAGGCTCATTAATATTTATTGATGATGTAACTGATGATGGTAGCAGCAGAATGAATTCAGAAGTGGACAGAAACATTTTGTCTGCCAATTTACGGAGAAATGCATTGAAACTAATAGGGAGGAAGTTTATCATGTAGCAGGACAACGAGCCAAAGCAAACTGTCAACAAAACAAAAGACTTCATCAGGGGAAGAAGTGGAAGGTTTTAGACTGGCCATGTCAATCACCTGACCTTAACCCAATAGAGCTGCATTTCACGTCCTTAAGAGGAGACTGAAGAGAGAAACACCCCGAAACAAACAAGAACTGAAAGAAGCTGCGATAAAAGCCTGGAATAGCATCACAAATGAAGACAGTTTGGTGATGTCGATGGGTCGCAGGCTTGAGGCAGTTATTGCAAGCAAGGGTTATACCACCAAAATATTAAATGTTATTTACTTTAAGATTATTTGTTCCATTACTTTTGCTCACCTAAGAATGCTGTGGTCTAATACAAACGCTGATATGTCCTGAGTTGTTTGACACATCCAGATGTGAATACCAGGAAATAAAAGCTGAAATTCTGAACTCTTGTCTCATACTCATCTTTTGATCTTAAACCCAAATGTCTTCAGTGAACAACAAAAACCAAGGAATTTGTCGTACCGGTACAATACTTTTGGAGGGAAATGTAGCACTAATTCATGAAATTAACTCATTGCACTTTTCATTGAGTTTAAGACTATACACTTTGTAATATTTACAGAGACTCAACACTTCCCACCATTACCAAGCACTTAATATAAATGTAATAATAATAAGACTAATAATAATAGTAATAATAAGACTAATAAGAATTGTAGCAGCAGGTGTTAAGGCAGAAATACCTGCAGAAAACAAAAATACCGGAAAGGGAAGAAGTCAAGTTAGTAACATGTATAAATGAGATAAGAATGCACACAGATGGAGAGGATGAGAGAGTAGCTCAGTATAATCTAGGCCTCTAGCAGCCTGACTAAGGAAGGGTTCAGGACTCAACTGAGTCAGCCCTAACTATAAGCTTTCTCAAAGAGAAAAGTCTTAAGCCTACTCTTAGATGTGGGAATAGTCTCTGCCTCCTGAACCCAAACTGAAACCTGATCCCACAGGGCAGGAGCTTGATAGCTGAATGTTCTGGCTCCTGTTCTACTTTTAGAGAATTTAGGAACCACAAATAACCCTGCATTTTGGGAGCGCAGTGCTCTGGTGGGGTAATAAGGTACTATGAGGTCTTTAAGATAAGATGGTGCCTGACCATTAAGAGCTTTGTAGGTGAGCAGAAGGATGTGGCCTCACAAAGCTGCACTGTAAAGCTTGGGAACAGGTCCAAAACAATCAAATAATAAAGCCACATGTCAATAATGATTAACCACACCATGACACAAGAGCTCAACCAGGAAGCTGTAACATGCAGGAGGTTCTTGAACACAACACAATGGACTATTCATTTTAATATGACATTAAACTGTCCACTTGGCAAACTATTTGAATCAGTCCTGTGCCCGATCAAGCCATAAGTTATGGAACAGAGACATTAACTTTTTAACTAATTTTCACCAAATTTCAGGAACATTAGCCAAAGAAAATATTTATGAATGTGTGTTTCTGTCCAGTACGAGAATATCAGGAGTTGGTTCCTCCAGATAAACAGCTGATGGAGCTAATTCTCCAATAGGTGCCATTTTATCATTGCAGAAGAAGAGGATGCAATGTGATGATATCAAAGAGCTCCAGTCAAAGCTCAAATGGTGCTAGTGATGGAAGTAGAGATGGAGGCTGATGGACCCGCTATGAAATAAATAATAAATAATAAATAATAAATAAAACTGACTGAATTGAAATAACTTGTGTTCTTAGCTTAGATCTGGAGGATCTTATAATGCAAGACAATGTGCAAGAGTTTGATGCCGTCTCCGTTGCTCACTAATCAGTCCCTTGAACGAGCTGCTACACATCCCACATGACATATTTCAGTTATAATCAAACACATAACTTACCAGCTTCTTGACAAGACCGTGTTCAAACCTTTACCAATTTTATGCAGTTTGTAAAATTTGTGATGCTTATCGCGGTTAGCATGTTAGCAAGTATAGCATCAGCATTGTTCATTCCAGCACAGCTAGGTAAGGGTGCTTTCACACCTGCCTCATATAGTTCGGTTGAATCGCCCCAGAGTTCATTTTCCCCCTTGGTGTGGTTCATTTGGGCAGGTGTGAATGCAGCAATCACACCTGGGTGTCAGGGTTTGTGGCGGTGTGGCAGGTTGCAGGACCCAAACGCAGGACACAGAGCGGAGCAGGTATAGTTCAATGGTTTATTAAAGCAAACAAAAGGCGAGCACACTTACAACTGAATGGCCATGTCCATGTCCAAAATAAATAAACAATCTAAACAAAACGGGTGATCCAAAAGAACTCAAAAGGCAAACTCCAACTAATCATAGAACTGGCAGGACAGGACAGGGCACGAGACAAGACAGAGCAAGAAACTGCACACACTGTACACAAGGTAACAGGAGGTAATGACCCGACCAGGAAAAGACAGAAACACCAGGTATATATACGCAGGTGACAGACATGAGACTAATGAGGCAGGCAGAGAGATAGCAGGGAGGACAGAGAGAGACAGGCAGGCAGAGACAGCAAAGGGGAACAAAGAGGCAGGCAGACAGAGTGATAACTGGGGGAAACAGACGGAACACTGACCAGAATAAAAACACTAAGACACAAAACTAGGAGCTAAGACACAGGGCTGAGATGCAGGAAACAATCTATAACACATGACAGACCGGTACAAAGAGTGTTGAACAGAACCAGTAAATGAACAAGGGAATACACAGAGCTAAACAGAGAACACAAGACCAGGAGTAAACACTAAAGACATGAACTAAAGTACAGGACTAAGAACAAAGACATGGAACCAAAACCAACTAAATAGCAGATACAAAACCAAACCCTCAGAATAAAAACCCGAAAACACAGCACTCAGGACAGGATCGTGACACTGGGTGCACACCAAAACCGTACAGAGACCTCCTTGAAGAGGTTGTCTCGGTACGCTTTCAAACGGACTCTGGTCCGGTTCACTTGTGGTGTGAAATGCAAATGAACCAACCACAGGATTTTATGATAGCAGAGATGTGACCTGAGCATTATTTCCAAAGCTGAGCCACTAATAAATCCATCTGCTGACCACGAAATGCGTTCAGCGATCTTATAATTGATCTGTATAAGTTATGTATAGGCTATGTTTATGTAAATGATTTTTTAACGTATGCTTGTCAG